GTCGTTCTTTATATGTAGAAGTGTTTCCTTGTCTTACTGCTGAAATGTTTGTCTCTAATTTTTAGATAGGGTGCTTTGTTCTAGACCAGCAGGAAAAGTTTCGGTGTATGCCATTTCTTTTCCCTTAATATATTGAAAACCTTGAGAAAATCACGAACCTATTGAATTCCAAGGAATTTAAAAATGCTTTGTGCAATCAGTTTTCATTTTTGATATTCGGAGTCCAGTTATCATTCTGGTAAATCTACGCTGCACTCATTCCAAGGCCAATATGTCCTTGAGCTACCCAGAACTGCTAACAGTACTTCTGGTGTGGTACTTTGGAAGTAAAGGTTTTTCTCCTTTGCTTTCCAATCCTGTAGATTTAAAGGCTAAAATTCCATTTGACGTAATTGTTTTCTTTACCTATTCAGACATTTGAATGATCAAAAATCCTAGACTCACAAGTCTTTTTGGACTCCACTGTTTTTAACTTTTTACCATTCAAGAAGTCTCCTGTTTTAATCTTCTTATGTCAAAAATGGATGATCATGCATTTGCGGACATTGTGCAAGCATTGCCTGAAGGCAGTTCCTTGGCTCATTGTCTGCTCATCCATCGTCCTGAGCCTTTTGCTCAGTGGTTTTTGTTAGTGGTGATTTGTCATTCTTTTTCATCCTCAGGGGTAGGGTGAGGTGGCAGGTACCAAGTCTGTCGTGGCTAAAAGAACATTCAAACCCACATTGTTGGTATTATCCTGAAGCACAGGCTAGCCTTCTAAGCAACCAGCCCCTAACCGATCACTATTGCTATGTTTCCAGTTACACACTTAAAATGCTGCTGTCATTATCATCAGAATATTTTGGGATGTAACTTTCTTTTTCCCATCTAAGACATTAACAAATAGATGAATAGTTGAGGCCCTGATACTGATTTTTGCAGGATACCAGTAGTCCTATCATGCCAATCAGAATACTTGCCCATAATGCCTGTACTAGATATGTAGAAAGATTTAAGGCACAGAAAAAGGTCACTCATCTGTTGTATCTGTCAATGGAAGAAAACTACCCAATTCTCAGCACACATTCAGTCCCTTGAATTGTAGTCCTCCAGCTGTGTCACCTCAGTTATGTTTTCCAAATCATTTTTTTTAAAATGACATGACCCTCTTTGCTCTTTTGTTCTTTAAGTCTCTGAGTTCCAGACCTCTGACCCATCTGGGTAAAAATATTACACCTCAACACCCCTGTGATCCTTCTGTGATTCTTGCCCTCTGTTTATTGACCTTTCTGATAACAGAAATATGTGTTTCTTAACCGCTCTATTTAGGACCATAATATATTTTTATGGCCTCCGTTGTTCCAAAGTAAACCCAATCTAACCAATTTTACCTCAGAATGAACAAACATCTTTTCCTGGCAGCACCCTTGTAGAAGTTTTCAGTGCCCTCTCTGGTGTGATCACATTCTGCTGTAATGTGGTGGTGAAAACTGCACACAGTGCTCTGGCAGTGGTCTACTTCATGTTGGTATAAGCACCCTGTCCATATACTCTAAGTCAATAAGATAAGGAATTTCAGATGCCTTTTGTCCACTTTAACAATCTGTCTTCCTGTTTTCAGAATCTGGAGACATAGGGCCAGACTTTTAAAAAATGTCAGGTGAGACACAGATGTGGAATTGCTGCCTCATTTCTGTTTTTGCCAGCCTAGAGAAAGGAACAGACCCTGACACATTCAGGATGGAAATGTGAATTCACCAGGGCCATTTTAACTTTGTGACAAGTTCAAACAGACCTCTTTCTGATTCTTAAAAGACCTTTAACCTGTAATACGGAAATTACAAATTGATAGGTTAGATGTAAATGCTCTTAAAGGGCATATAAGATCTATATTACTGACAGGGTCTGAGTTTATAGTCCATTGACCTATAAACATGAAAACTCTCCGTCAGTGAGCGTTTTAATTAAAAAAAAGTCCTCGACTGGACTACTTGGATTGCTGGGCTATCAGGTGTAGATGAAAAAAAAACTGTATTTTCTTGCAGTTTTAACTGACTTTCTTGTTAGACATTTCTCAAAGCTATTATTAACATCAATGCGAATGCTTGGATGAGTTTCAGACAGTACAGTTATATCATTGGAGTATTCTGCATTCACGCTTGGATTGACAGTTGTTTCAAAAGTCTTCTAAAGGATTAGTTGTCTTTGTGTCATCTGAATAGAAGTTTGTTTTTAACAATCAACTAACCACTTGAAATTCAAGAACTTTGAATGGATGTCTTTAATGGGTGCATTTTCTCACTCATTACGTTGGATTGAAAGCCATATTGCATCGTGAGCAGTTTCTTTTCTTCATCACATGGTTCTTGAGGTCCGCCCATTGTGGACTGTGAATGAGTATCAATGGAGGTGATATGGAATAAGAAGAACTAATGAGAGGTTAGAAGGAGACATGTGAGTAGGTGGAGAGGCATGAGTTGGCACAAAGGTGGCATGTTGGAGATGAGTGAGAAGTGAAGACTGGAGGACCTAACAGATTCTAAAACAACTGGAATGAAATCCTAGAGGATCAGGGCACTCCTAGCCAGATTGCCTTGGGAATAATTTGTTTCTGTGGCCACATTGATTCTGCTTCTGAGTTTGGCAGGCCTAACTCAATCATACACACCACCTGTCACAGCTAGCATTAGTCATAATGGAATTCCTTAAACCAAGATGGGTCTGCCGAGTCAGGAAATTACCTCGACAGTGAAAATCCGGCACTTGCTGTCCTGGGTTCCTTTATTCCCCAATACTTTTGGAATACGATTATGTATTGTAACCATGATGTGAAAGTGCCAGTGTTGGACTGGGTTGAGCAAGGTCAAAAGTCACATGACACCAGGTTATTGTCTGACATTCGCTTTCAGAGTGTCGCTACGCCTGATGAATGAGCAACGCTCAGAAAGCTAGTGTTTTCAAATAAACCTGTTGGACTATAATCTGGTGTCATGTGATTTTTGACATTATTTGTTGTGTATTCTCTTGCGTTGTTGTTCTCCTCAACTGCATTCCCTTGCATGTTTCCAGATTGAATTCCATTTTGCACTTTTCTGCTCGACCTAGCCAGATAGTTCTATTTTTACAACAAAGAAAAGCAGTCCTCTAGAACATCAGAGATAACAAGGTGTAGAGCTGGATGAACACAGCAGGCCAAGCAGCATCAGAGGAGCAGGAAGGCTGACGTTTCGGGCCTAGACCCTTCTTCAGAAAAGAACATCATTGGAACACCTTTAGAACATCATTCATTATTTTCATTCTCAACCTTGTGTTATACCCAACAACTATCTTTATCCATGTGGTCACATTCTGCTTTACTTCATTTATTGTTACCTTTGGCATAAACCTCCAATTTATTTCTTTCATCTTTTTTATTTCTTATTTATTAAGCTTTCTCAAACATTGGTCAAGCATGGCCTCCCTTTTAAAAACCTGTGCTTTTATAGTTCCTGTTGAGACCAGTAATTTCTGAAAAAAAGGAATCTCCACAAAGCCAACAGAAGGAAAACTGATGGACAGCACTTCACTTTTTAAAACTTTTACTGTAGCAAACCACCTGAAAACACCGTAATGCAAATGTTAACAGGAGAAGGAGAATGCAAACAAAAAGGCAAATTTCACTTTAAATAGTAGATATACAAAGAGGTACCTCACATAGTTACAAGTACTGACATTAAGTCTTCCACAGATGTGGCACCATAGGTAATCTCACAGTCTTTCCAATTCAGCCTCTGTTTGTAGGATCTCTCATTTCCCATTAAATCATTTCAGCTCCTGAGTTTCCACAACTAGTAGCTATATTCCATTTGAAGGCCCTGGATCATTTTCCAATGACCAGTGAACCAGGAGGCACGGATTCAAGACCTGCATGTTCCAGAGGTGTGTGATGACGTCTCTGAATAGGTTGATTAGAAAATCAAAACAAAAATCACTTACTGCTGACAAGATGCATATCCACAACTACACTTGGTTCGTGAGGATTCTGATGGTACAGAATTCCTAGAAACTCCTTTCATAAACTCCTTTAAATGGATTGTTGGGCTCTGGACAACATTGAAGCAGTAGCAATGATCTTGTCCAGTCCACGATCCCTCGCCCTTCTTATCGTTATCTCCTTGTATTTTTCAACTGTATGACACATATGTTGTCTCTGCTGTTTTGTCACATACATGCTTCACAGAAGGATCTTTTTCAAAACTGCCAAACAAAAAATTATTCCATTTGGAGGGAACCTTGTTTGTTTTCTCGCTCGTGAATTCTGTGTGTTCTTAACTGCCAAACAGGATCATGGTGTGAAACCCAACCTCACTGCAATTAACGTTTTGTTACTCTTTACTTCTTAGTTGTTCATTCGTATTGAAACCTCAGGTCACACAGACATTCCTTGGAGTCCAATGATGTGATAAAGGGAGAACAAATTAACCCACTTTCAGAATGTTCCCCAGTTCATATTGGTCTTAAAGGGGACAATGCACAAAAGCCAAATGCAAGCTTTTCCCAAAGCACATGGGTCATTACAGTGTTATCTGCTCCTGATTAGTAATTTGTGAGATGGTGCAAACGAGGAGTGATTGAATATGTGATAATCACTAATAAATCCATTGGGGAATTCAGAGATAAAGTTGCTATTTTTGCCACATGAGTAGTTGTACCAATTACATAGTACAGATGCATTTAACTGGAAGTTAGATAAGCACATGAGGGTCAAATGTAGTAAGGTGGGAGTAGGGTTTTGTGAAGCATGAACACTGACATGGACAAGTTGGGATTGAATGACCTGCCTTGTACTGTAAATTCTGTATAATCCAACAACTGAAATAAGATGAACTGGTAGTGAATGCAAGAGAGGAAATTTCTGATCTAATACCTATTGTCAGTCCTCTTTAACGTTGTACATGTTGTATTCAAATGAATAAATATACCAACGATATTTAGCTCTGCGTAATGTGAATATTCTGATTATTTTTCCATTTGCTTTTCAGTGTTTCAGGATACACATGTCATAGGTAAGTCTTATTTGTTTTAATTAAGTCATGCATATATCAAAATTAACAAATTCATACTTACACATTTATATCGTGCCTTTAAGACAAGAAAACATTTTAAGCTGCTTCACGGAGGTGTAATTTAAAGAAAGTGAAACTGCATCAAAGGAATGAAGTATTAGGAAGGACAATTAAAAAATTGATCAAAGAGGAGTGTGACAAGGAGGATATTAGTAGAGAAGAGGTAAGTGAAGAGTGTAAAAAGGAAATCCTAGACCATGAGGCTGGCTGAACGTGCAGCCATCAATTGTGGGGAATTACCTACAAGATTAGGTCAAAAGAACAGAGATTTCAGAGAGTAGTGTTTTGTTTTGGAAGCGATTGTTGGAGTGATGCAGAACATGAAAGGACTTGAATTTGAGATTCAGAATTTTAAATTGAAGGCATTGCGGGACTTGGAGCTTAATGTAGGTCACAATGGATAGAAGTGACCAGTTAACAGGACTTGAATACAAAATTTTGTATTTTACGAACTCATTCATTAGATGTGGGCATCGCTGGCTGGGCCAGTATTTATTGTCCATCTCTAATTGCCCAGAGGACAGTGAAGAATCAATCACATTGCTGTGGGTCTAGAATCACATGTAGGCTAAACCAGGTCATGATGGCAGTTTCCATCTCTAAAGGACATTCATGAATCAGATGGGTTTTCTTGGTAGTCAACAATGGTTTCATGATCATCATTCAACTTTTAATTGCAGATTTTTATTGAATTCAGTGCTAACAGTCTACCCAGAACAATACCTGGATCTCTGAATTAATAGTCAAGTGATCATATCACGAGGCCTTTGCTAGAAGTCATGGAGTATGTGAAGTTATCATTTCTGGTGTGCAGCAAACTTTGAGGGCTTTGAAAGTGTTACTCTGAAATTGGCCATATTCAACTTCCTCCAAGAAGTTAACTTGACCACAAATGCTGACTAATGAACATTCAGTCTTGCCAGTTAGACCACTTCCTTTGTGATGACAAGTTACTGAGTATCTTTAAACAGTCCCAGGGATGGGAAGAGCCTTGGGTCTAAGTTTTGAATTATTGGGCAAGGCAAAATGTTTCCCAGACTGTTCGAGAATTTATAGAATGATGACATAGTTTGGAGTTAGAGAGAGGACAGAGGCGACTTAAGGGAGAATTGGGACTTAGTAGCAGTGCTTTTATGCATTTGAAAAGTTAACATGCCTTTTGCTGTGCTGGTGAGCTTTTGCTAACTGGCAAGTTAACTATAAGATATCAGATAATGAAGTTATGAACTTTTGCGACCTTTTCATATAAGAGCATTGAATTTTAGTCATTCAGCAGCTCATAACAAGGAAAATCCTGAGTAATTTTTCCACTGTGGGTTAAAAAATATTGGACAGTAGAAGATTGCAACACATCTAATGAAAGAGGTTAAAAACAAGTTGGAAATGTGAAGCATAGAGAAGCACTTACTGTCCATCAGCCAGTACTGGCCACTTTGACTTCAATCCCAGTCTTCCATGTGGCCTGACTGAACTTGTGGACAGCTACTGTTCACCAAAACTTTACCCTTGTGCTTGTGTATTTTACAATCACCAATTATTCTTATAACTTTTTCAAAACACTTGATATTCAGATTTCTAAAGCTTGTTTTACACCCAGGCTCCTTTTAAAATAGAAAGAAAATTAAGAATAATTACATACTACTACAAATCCAATATTGTTTAAGAACTTTTGTTTTGTCCTATGGATGTGATAGATTTGACAAAGCCGTGTTTCAATTGTTCACCCCAGCTCCCTTGAGAAGGCAACAGTGGGCTTTCCCCTTGAAGTGCTGCAGGCCATGGGATGATTGGTCGGTGCAGTTCTTGAATGTTTCAACGTTATCAGTCTTTCACTAGCTACTAAGTGCAACCTCCACATGGTTTTGTTTGAGATTTGGCACTGTAATTACTCAGTACATCTCTGCTGCAGACGTGATCTCCAAGGTGTGACCTGCAAATATTTTGCAGTGGCTTTTGTGATAAATATGTATGTTATCATTTGCAAATTTGTATTTTTAAAAATTAGAGGCAGGTCGATTCTAGTGGTGGTATTTTTGTGAAGTCAGAAAGCAATTTGGAAAAGTGACCAAAGTATATCATTTCGAAGAAACCATGGGACTATGTGAAATGGCTATCAGGATACCTTTCATATTAATTGAAGGCATGTTTATATTGTTGAGGCTATGACATATGGAGAAATAGACCTGTTACTACTAGTTTTAGTTTTGACCAGTTTAGAAGAATCAAGAGTTCAGTTCAGAAGAGAAGTTTCCTCTGAGCAGAAGAATCAAGTTTTCATTTTACAAGAACAATTCACTTTTAGCAGAAGGTTGTTAGTTTATGAAGTCTCCAGGCTGTGATAATTTGATTAGAAATTTTCAACTTGTCAGAACATGCAAAGAGGTTTAAGCCAGCAGAATTGGACTGGACTGAAGCTGTTGAATTAGTCCCAGAATAAAAACGAGAAAGAGTTTAAGCAAAAGAGTTGAGATAGGTTTGTATTTCTGCGGGATTGAATGTCTAAAGGATTTTGCTGAGAAATGGGTTGAAACTTTGTTTTGCTGTTTATATAGATTTTTTAAACTGTGTTCCATACATAGCTTTGCATTTTTGGATTTTGCATAATAGGCTTGTGTCCTTCAGTTATGTTCTGATGGAAGCTAACTATTTGTACCAATAACACCAGCATTGATGGTGGAAAGTGAAAATCATCCCAGTTACTTTGCACCTTAAAGGCTGAACATTTTCAGCCTTGTGTGAATATGTTTCGGTGACTAACCACCATGGTAACCAACTGCAAACATTAAACTTATGATCTATTAAGCCACGTGTCACTCTGGAATCTGATTTCTCCAGTATTACCAGCTGTGATCGTATCATTTTTTGGTACTAAAGCCGTAGATGCATTGGTGGTAGTTTGTCATGTGTAGAATCATGTACATAAAAATACAAGACCATGACATTTTCTGATTAATGCAATTATAAAGAGATCTTTCACTTCTAAGCTGTAGATTTTGTTGTGCTGGAAATTATTGGGATTTTTACATATTTTCAGTTGATGCATAATGGTATTAGACTCTATTCATTTTTGCAACTGGTTCCTTTGTTTTCTCTCCAATCTTTGTACAGTCTGTGTGTATAATTTACTCCCACAAAAATGTTAATGTCCTGTAATTTATTGGGATTCAGCATTTTTCGAATTGCTTCTTTGATTCTGGATTGGGGTCGGGCTCAGTATCCCAGAAGTCTTTATTTGCCATCAGTTTGAAGCAGTTTGTAGAGTTTTCAAGTTTTAGGAAGGATTATGTAGATTTACCTTTTACTTTGTACTCTTTTGGGGGCCTCATAATTCATTTATTTTTCAAGTTGCTGAACTGCGTGTTCATAATTTTAAAGTTAATTACTCAGTAAAATTAATCACTTCAGAAGTCCTTGAACCTCAGTACCAAATGGTAATTTCCTGTTTTAAATATCCACGACTAAATTGGGGTTTCTATGGCAGGTTGTATTTGAAATTGGAGAAAATCCAAACTTTAAGGGTGCAAAGTAATTGAGAAGGTTTGTACTTTCCTCCACCAACACTGGTGTTATTGGTCCAAATAGGCTTCTATCAGAATTTGTGCCACTGGGTGTCAGTATCATCACCAATAACTGAGAGTTTTCATTTCCGTTTCAATGGGCCAAAAGGCATTAAACTGTTTGTGTTGCGTTTGGAATGTTGCATTTATATTTGTAGTTTTTATTTAAATGTGCCTACTCATACGGAATTGTGGCGTATTGAATGATAAGTTTGACAAGTTAAAAATTGTTGCTTGTAATTTGATGTCTACTTTATATTTCTAAACTACAAAACATGTCAAGTTCATCGAGAAAGTTTTGCCTGGCATATACCCTTTCCTGTGATAATCATCAAAATACTTGAGATTCCTATCCGGATATTGGTTTAAGAAAGCAGGTAAAGTTCTCCCATTTTAGTGCAGAGCATGAAATATACTTGGAACATTTTAAGCAATTTTGTTTCAGCTTTGAAAGTGATGCTTTGAAACGTAGACAGGTTTGTAGATAAAGAATAAAGCCAGCTCTGTGCCTTAATCTGAAACAAGTCTCATGATGCACTGTCTTCTCTGTTTATGATGAGCTGATGATTTAATATAGGCAACAGTGAAGGCTGGATAGTTTGGCCTGTATGCACGCTGCTTTATATGACCAACTGTAACACTGTGTTCTGAGCAGCATGTTGACACTCTGCAGGTTCTGATACGACAGTCAAAATAACATCAAGAGATGTTGATCTAGAACTTTGGCTTCCCTTTGGATCACAAGCCAAGATCTTTCTACAGGAAGCCCACAAAGCATGTGAAGGTAAGAGAATATCTGATACACTTCGATTTATTCTTGAGCAGTTTTAAATGAGAAGACTGAAAAAAAGATACAAGAAAATCTGAGGCGAGTGGTAATTTTCAGGGCTGGAAGCAGGATAGGCCGAGTCATTACCCCATTGGAATTCATGCTGGGGATGCTAAGGCAGGCAATTAGTGCTTCTGAATCATTGAAGTCAACATCCTAACAGAGGAGAATATAAATGAAAGCAGGATGGGTGGGTCTATAATCTGTGGAGCTTAGAATGGCACCACCACTGTGTACTGCAGTTCTGCACGGGACAGGAAATGGGCCTAATGATTGTTTTCCAGGATGGTTTCGTCACGTTGAACATTGAAAATTGTTTGTGGTGCCATGTTCAGTTTCCTTTCTGAAAATTTACTTTTGATTTTAATTTTCACCCACACCTGTGGGCTTTGCCACTGAGTGGTGGGAGAAAGACAAATTGTGATTTAACAATAATTTATTTGGAGGAGGGCTAATTTAAGTGAATTAAAAGGGGGATCTGGCACAAATAGAATAGAATCAAAGGATTATAGTCAAAACAATTGAACAATGGTGGGACTTCAAAGAACAGAACTTTAAGGTGCAGAGTAGACAGATTCTCATGAGAAGGAAAGAATGGGCAATCAAAATTGGTGCTTCCTGGATGATGAAAGGTATAAAGGTAAATAAATAGTTGAGGTATATAGATAGTAAAGACATGGAGATAAGACATACAACAAATGTAAGATTCACAGGAAGTGCAGAAGGACACACAAAAAAAGGAATGGGAGGGACAAATAAAGTATATGAGAATATATTAGTAGATAATATGAAAGGAAACTCTGTTCTATGCAAACAAATAAATATTAAAAGAGTAGTCAAAGGAAGGATGGGGCCTGAAAAGGGGATCTTGTGAAGGCAGACAGCTGAGATATGAAATTAGCACTTTGGCAGCATAATCCTCTTTACTGTAGAGAGATACAATGTCTCAGAAAAGAAGAATGTCGAAAAAATGTGCAGGATAGAAATATATAAAAACAAAGTACTTTGAAATGTTTGTGACACACAAATTAGACATCACACCCAGTGTTGATAGGATGCATCCTAAGATGAAATAATTGTGGGTGCCCTTGTTAGAATCTTCCAATGACCTGAAGGAGGTTTTAGGGTTTTACATATGTTGAGCCCCAATTCAACAAAGGAAAGATGGGTAAATCCAACCTCTACAGGGAAGACAGCCTAATGTTGTTGGTGGTAAAACTTTTAGAAGCAATAATTTGTGACAAAATTATTTGGTTTTTCAGGAGAAAGTGTTAATAAATGAAAGCCAACATGAATTTGCTGGAGACAAATCGTATGTGATTAACTTGCTTAAGTTCTTTAAGTACTGAGGAAGAATGGGAAGCAGGAAATGGCAGTGAAGAAGGTTTGTCAGAAGGGGGCAAACTGACTAAGGCTGATCAAGGGAGTTATGAGTAGTATCATATTGAAATGAAAAACATACAATGTTGCAAAGATTAATGATAAACCAGAGCATTGGGAAAGTTTTATAAGCTAACAAAAGATGACCAAAAAATAATAAAGATGAAGAAAAGTAATCTGAGGGCATTCGAGCAAGTGATGTAAAAATAGACTGTTAGAGCTTCTTTAAGTATGTAAAAAGGAAGAGAGAGGCCCTTAGAGAATGAGGCTGGGGAAATAATAATGGGGAACCAGGAAATTACAGAGCTGTTGGATAATGATTTTGCATCAGTCTTCATGAGAGATTACACAATTAGTATTCAAAATATAAAATAATCAAGGGTCAAAAGATTCAGGAGGTGAGTGGAAAGGGGTGATGCAGAAATAAACTCAATTACTGTCACGAGCTAAAATGTAATGGGAAACTAAAGGGGCAAAAGGGAATGGTAACCTGCAGGATGTTGATAGTGTGGGATTCAGTGATGGTAACATCATTGAATGTCAAGGGGCAGTGGTTCGGCTGTCTCTTATTGGTGATGGTCATAGTCTGGCATCTGTGGGTCATGAATGTTACTTGCCACTTATCTATCCAAGCCTGAATATTGTTCAGATCTTGTTGCATTTGAACACGGACTGCTTCAGTATCTGAGGTGTCACGAATGGTGCTGAACATATCGTAATCATCAGTGAACATCCCCACTTCTGACCTTATGATGGGAGGAATCTCATTGAAGAAGCAGCTGAACATTGTTGTGCCAAGGACACTACCCTGAGGAACTCCTGCTGAGATGACTGAACTCCAACAACAAAACCATCTTCCTATGTGCTAGATATGACTGCAGCCAGCAGAGAGTTTGCCCCCTAGTACCAATTGATTCCAGTTTTGTGAGATTTGCCTGATCCCATACTTGATTGAAGCAGCTTTGATGTCAAAGGCTGTCACTCTCACCTCCCTCTGGAATTTAGCTCTTTTGTCCGTGTTTGAACCAAGGCCATAATGAGGTCAGGAGCTGAGGGTGCCTGACGGAATCCAGACTGGGCGTCACTGAGCAGGTTATTGCTGAACAGGTGCTGCTTGATATCACTGTTGATGACACCTTCCATCATTTTACTGATGTTTGAGAGTAGATTGATGGGGTGGTAATTGGCTGGGTTGGATTTGTCCTACATTTTATGTACAGGACATGGACAATTTTCCACGTTGTTGGGTAGATGCCAGTGTTGTAACTGTACTGGAAGAGCTTGGCTACAGGAGCACAAGTTTTTAGTACCATTGCTGGAATGGTGTCAGGACCTGTAGTCTTTGCAGTATCCAGTGTCTCCAACTGTTTCTTGATGTCGCATGGTGTGAATCGATTTGGCTGAAGACTGGTATCCGTCATGTTGGGACCATGGGAGGAGGTCGAGGTGAATCATCCACTCAATAATTCTGGCTGAAGGTTGCTGTGAATGTTTCAGCCTTATCTTTTGCACTGATGTGCTGGGCTCCTCCATTGTTGAGGATGAGGATATTTGTGGAGCCTCTTCCTCCAGTGAATTGTTTAATTGTCCACTACCTTTCATGACCGGATGTGGCGGGACTGCAGAGATTAGATCTGATCTGTTGGTTGTGGGACCGCTAAACTTTGTCTTTCACTTGTTGCTTATGCTGTTTGGCGTGCAAGTAGCCCTGTTTGGTAGCTTCACCAGGTTGACACCTCAGTTTTGGGTATGCCTGGTGCTGCTCCTTGCATGCCCTCCTGCACTCTCCATTGAACCAAGGTTGATCCCTTGGCTTGATGTTAATGGTTGAGTGGGGGACATGCCAGGCCATGACATTCAGATTGTGCTGGAGTACAGTTCTGTTGCTGTTGATGGCCCACGGCACCTCGTGGATGTCCAGTCTTGAGTTGCTAGATCTGTTTGAAATTTATCTCATTTAGCATGGTGCCATACAACATGATGGAAGTTATTCTCAAAGTGAAGGCAGGACTTTGTCTCCATAACGACTGTGTGGTGGCCACTCTTACCAGACAGATGCATCTGCTGCTGGCAGATTGGTAAGGATGAGGTCAAGTATGTCTTTTCCCCTGTTGCTGGTTCCCTCACCATCTGCTGCAGACACAGTCTAGCAGCTATGTTCTTTAGGACCTGATCAGCTCAATTGGTAGTACTGCTGCCAAGCCGCTCTTGGTGGTAGACATTGAAATCCACCAACCCAGAGTATATTTTTGCCCTTGCCATCTTCAATGCTTCCTCCAAGTATTGTTCAACATGGAGGAGTACCATTTCATCAGCCGAGGCAGCATGGTACATCGTAATCAGGAGGTTTCCTTGCCCATGTTTAACCTGAGGCATGAGACTTCATGATGTCTGGAGTCATTGGTGAGGACTTCCGAGATGACTCCCTCCTGACTGTATCCCACTGTGCTGACACCTCTGCTGGGTCTGTCTTCCAGTACGACAGGACATATCCAGTAATGGTGGTAGTGGTGTCTGGGACATTGTCTGGAGGGTATGATTCCATGAGTGTGACTCCATTGCTTGACTGGTTTGTGAGACGGCTCTCCCAATTTTGGCACTAGCCCCCAGACGTTAGTAAGGAGGACTTTGCAGGGTCAACAGGGCTGTTTCTGTGTTGTCTTTTCCATTGCCTAGGTGAGCCATCTGATTTTATTTCTTTGAGACTATGTAGCAGTTGTTACAGCTGAATGGTTTACTTGGCCATTTCAGAGGGCAATTGAGAGTCAACCACATTGCAGTGGCTCTGGAATCACATGTAGACCAGACCAGGTGAGGATGGCAGATTTCCTTCCCTAGAGGATATTAGTGAGCCAGGTGGGTTTTTCCAACACTTGGCAATGATTTCATGGTCATCAGTAGATTCTTAATTACAGGTATTTTTATCGAATTTAAATTCTGCGATTTGCTGTGATGGGGATTGAACCTGGGTCCGCAGAACATAACTGATTTTCTGGATTAATAGCCCCCGATAATACCACAAGGCCATCGTCTCCCCTTGGTATCAGGGCTAAAAGATTTCAGTTTCATGGACAAACTAGAGGAGCTGGTGGTATGCTACTTGGAGTAGATAAGGTTAAGTAGCGATTTGATAGATGTATTCAGAGCCCTGAAGTATTTTGAATGGATAATTAAGCAGAAAATGTTTCTGTTAGTAGAATACCAGTAAACAGAGAGCACAGATAATTGGCAAAAGAACCAGAGGTGAAATGAGGACTAAATTGTTACAAATCAAGTTGTTGTGATCATGAATGTGCTGTCTGAAAGAAACAAATTCAAACGGTAGCATTCGTGCAGAATTGGATAATGCTTGAGAGAAAAGAATTAGCGGGCACTGAGTGAAGAAGATGGGAACGGAATGAATAATATTTTTCAAAGTGCTGGCACAGTGCTAATAGGACAAGTTGCTACCTCCTGTGCCATATCTTTTTGTGTTTCCATACTGTAGTCAAACCTAAAATGGGATTGTGTTCATGGTATTTAACAAAATGCATTGAGTGGTATGGGTACAATGTAAAACAACAAGCTAGCTTCGA